AAAACTCATGTCTGTCGTGTGTCTGAGGAGTGTGAAGCTTGACTCAGGACTCTGCCTCCCTCCAGTGGAGGTTTAGTGTAATAAATCTTATGACGATTATGTTTACATTCTGAATGACTGTGCTTTTGCTGTGCAGGAGGATACAATATATGAAAGAGTAATTGGCAGTTCTTTCCACTGTGGCGACCTCTGATAATTCAGGGACTATTTGAGTGAGTGAGTGAGTGAGTGAGTGAGTGAGTACTGTAAAAAATGCGGGGTTCCACAGAATTCCTTCATTCCTTTCCAACACAAATCGATTAGGTTAACTTAATTGTTTTTGCAAATTAAAGTAGATTGAACATAAAACAATTAAGCTGACCCCTAAAGAAGTCAAGAATTGTGTTGATTCGACTCATTTTAGATAAGTAATTTGAACAAGCAGCCAAAATCTTTGTTTTTTTGAGTGAGTGTTGTGCAGGAGATTTAATGTTGAGGAAATGTCGATTAGAATCCACAAATAAAAATGATTTAGTTTTTTGAAAATGGTTTAGCATTTTTCTAATTTGTTTACTAAATCGTTTCCATTCTGGCGACGCTGTGGCGCAGTAGGTAGTGTCACACCTGTTGCAGTGCCCTAGTTTGGACACTTGAGGGCACTAGTTTGTTTTGTAGTTTCACTTCATTTTATGTCACGAAATGGGGAAAGATCACTAAATGCAAAAATCCAAGTGCAGCAATTTATTAACAAAAAGGCAAAGGCATCCAAAAAGACAGATTTCCAAATCTTGCACAGAACTAGAAGCAAGATACAAAAACTAGATGACCTGACGAAGTAACTGGCAAAAGTCCAAAAACGGTAAATACAAGGACAGGGTAGGAGTGCTAACAAGTGCTAACAAAAACGAACACAAACAGGACATATCCACAATGGAACACAATCCAAGAATAATCGTAATACAAAAAAAAACTAGATAACCAGACAAACATACTAGATGTGAGGAACTAACAAAATCCTAAGGCAACTAAAACAGAGGACAAGAGGGTTTATAAAGACAGGACTAAATTAACAAACACAAAACAGCTGTAACATAACACAATCAGTAATACAAAGGATTATGGGAAATGAAGTGAAATTACAAAACAAACTAGTGCCCTCAAGTGTCCAAACTAGGGCACTGCAACAGGTGTGACAGGTAGTGCTGTCGCCTCACAGCAAGAAGGTCACTGGTTCGAGCCTCGGTTGGGTCAGTTTCTGTGCACTGCAAAAAATGCTTTTCTTACTTAGATTTTTGTCTTGTTTCTAGTCCAAATATCTAAAATGTCTTAAATCAAGAAGCATTTTCTAGACAAGCAAAACATATTGTCTTGTTTTAAGAAATAATATGCCAAAATGAAGCGAGTTTTTCCTTAAATCAAGCTAAATAATCTGCCAATGAGGTAAGCAAAGTAGCTGTGCCAAAGTGGCATATTATTTCTTAAAACAAGACAATATGTTTTGCTTGTCTAGAAAATGCTTCAGGATTTAAGAATTTCTAGATATTTGGACTAGAAACAAGACAAAAAATCTAAGTAGGAAAAGCATTTTTTGCAGTGTGTGGAGTTTGCATGTTCTCCCTGTGTTCGCGTGGGGTTCCTCCGGGTGCTCCGGTTTCCCCCAGAGTCCAAAGACATGCGGTACAGGTGAATTGATTAAGCTAAATTGGCCATCGCCGGATTTAAATGATTCCTATAACGATTTGTTGCCAATATCCAATGAGAGATCTGCCATTGTAAATCCCCGCTTCTTTTTTCAATTGATGGCTTATATAATGACCTCCAACACCTTTTTGGAGCAGTACCCATTTCAACAAAATTTGCCCATTTGGTTTCTGGAATTTCTCTCAAAGATCTCAAATTAAAAAAATTTAACACAAAGACAATAGGATGACTTTATAGATATTTCGTCAAAGAAACCAAGTTGCAGTGTTTTAAAAGAAAGTAATCTTGCATCATCCTCCTGCCAGTCTTCTAAATTTACTCTCACACTAATCCTGGGAAATACAGTCTTAATTACTTCTGTTTGCAATGGTACTACAGCAGGGTTCAGGGCCAGAGTGGGACTCCTTTTCAGGCCTGGAGTTTCAAGCATTAGACCGGCCCACCTCAGTTCACGACTGACTATATTAAAATAAGGTCATTTCCAGTTTTTAGTTACACTATCCGGTCTTTTTCAAGAAAACAGCTGCTTTAGAACTTCAAATGTTCAACCACCTTGCAGGTTTATATGTCTTAAAAAAAAGAAAAAAAGATTCAATTCAATTCAATTCAGCTTTATTTGTATAGCGCTTTTACAATGTAGATTGTGTCAAAGCAGCTTCACATAAATGGTCACAGTAACTGGAACAGTGTGGTTCAGGTTTTAGTGTTTAAGTTCAGTTCAGTTCAGTTTAGCTCAGTTCAGTGTGATTTACTCCGGTGAGGATTGAACACAGGTTGACAGAGTCGAAATGCATTGTGCCGACCACTGGACCACAATGGCACCATTTCTTGTTAAGGGGCCGGAATGATAGTTACATCATCATTACCCTGCAGGCTGCATTTTGCTCATGGGGCTGCGAGACAATAAATAAGAAGAGCGGAGCTGCAGCAAAATAATGAATAAAAAGAGTGAGGCTATGGTCACATAAATATATGAAAAAAAAAGTGTGACGGCTGAGAGTGCAAGCAGCTAGAAACACCGGCCCTTGCGGCAAAAAACGGATCGGCCCACCGGGAACTCTCCCGGTCCTCCCGATTAGCCAATCCGGGCCTGGCAGGGTTCAACGCTAAGGATTTTTTCTACTGGTCTGATCGGGCCAGTGGTTCAGATTTTTACTTGCCCTGAAAAAATTTTCTCTGGCCCCACCAAAAAAATAGGGAAGTTAATAGCTATTTTTAGCCACATATATTAAATAATGTGTCAAAAATAAAGTCTGGGAAATTTCAATACTTCAAAAAAAGTCAATAAAAGTGTTATGCAAACAAAAAGAGCAGTACGTGGGAGGTATTTTATTGCGGTTTGAAATTATTTAACAAAAAGTATCTGACTTGTCAAACTGATGAAAACTGTGCGCTTTATTTCTATTTTGTCATGTTGTTTCCACATAAATGTCTACTTCCAAGGCGTTAGAAACAGACATTTTCTTTTAGCCTTATAATTTGATGTTGCCGCCATGTTGCCGTTTCTTCGCTGTACCGGTTGTTACCAGGTTACAGAAAAAAATAGCATGCTCAATCAGATAAGAGGAACTGGAAATCAATATGGTGTTTACAACATCACAGAAAGGGTAGTGTTTAAGGACTTAAAAGCACAAACTTAAAATGAACACAATTGACAAATAGTCAAAGACAAATTAAATGTTAGCAAGGCGGCACTGTCCCAATCAGGCCAGTAATGATCCGGTCTACTGTCCCAAGTGTCTCTCACGCTAACCCAGGGCCACCGGGCTGTCCTTATTGTTGAGCCCTGTACAGGAAACAATTTTTGAACCTCATATAAGAGAGAGAGAGAGAGAGAGAGAGAGAGAAAATAAAACATGCACAAACAAAGTACTGTTAGGGTGATTATTTTTTTTCCTTCTAAAACATAAATTCATGTCATTGAGCAGAGATGCCCAAACTAGGTCCCGGAGGTCAAAGTTGGCCTATGTTACTTTTTAATTTGGCCCACCATCCCATCTAAGAGAGGGGGAACGATGGGGGTGGTTTCGAGATTTTCAATTTAGATTTAATGTAACCTTTTTTGTTTGTTTGTTTTATTGTTAAACGCTGACTAAAATGAAATGTTTCAATGAAATGGTGTAAATTATTCAGATTTGATTTAAATCTATAGACTGTCACCCGACAATTCAGAGACTTTGGTGAGCAAATCAAGCCAAAGGCAGATTCTGCTTGACTAGGGTATTCAGCGTTGAATTCCACAGTGTTATAAAATCATTCATTCATTCATTTTCTTTTCGGCTTAGTTCCTTTATTAATCTGAGGTCGCCACAGAGGAATGAACCGCCGTTGTACGCAGCGGATGCCCTTCCAGCTGCAACCCATCACTGGGAAACCCATACACACTCATTCACACACATACTCTATGGTCAATTTAGCTTACCCAATTCACCTGTACCTCATGTCTTTGGACTATGGGGGAAACCGGAGCACCCGGAGGAAACTCGCACAAACGCAGGGAGAACATGCAAACTCCACACAGAAACTGACCCAGCCGAGGCTCGAACTAGCAACCTTCTTGTTGTGAGGAGACAGCACTACCTACTGCGCCACTGCGTTGTCTAGTGTTATAAATGTGATTGTTTATGTTTTATTGCAATATGTTTTCACTTAAAAAGTTATACGGTATTACTTAATACCATTTAAAGTGAGGTTTTCTATTACATAAATATGATTAAATAAATTAGGAGATCATCCATGGCAACGTTAATGTAATATAGGCTTACTGTAGTTTGGTATATTTACCTTCGGCCCACGGCTCTCAATGATATTTAGTTTTTGGCCCTTCATACGAAAATGTTTGGGCAGCCCTGCCATAGAGGGATACCAGACGAAAGAAACTCATACATGTTTGGAGCAAGTGTAGGATGAGTAAACAAATGACAGAAGTTTGGGTCGCTTTAAATAAGCATTCGGGTGAACAATTCAACAACTTGCCTTCTTTGTCGCTCCCTACTGGCAAAAAATAAACAAATCACTAACGTTAAATGAATCTATTTGGTGAACTGATTTAAAAGATCCGAACACTGAATCAAAACCCCACCAGTGCGTCCCTCCAAAAGAAGTAGCTGATACTACATTTAACCGGAGTCGAGTCGACCCGCCGTTGCCTAATTCAAAACTCCTTCAATATTCGCATTCAAAATGTGACTTTCAACACACCCCCTAACAATTAAACGCGCGCGTTACATTTAAGCATTTACACAATATAAAAGCCGTCCGCGTTTAGATGTATTGTATAAAATTCAAAGGATGATTTGTCAGGCACGCGGAGGTCAGCTAAATCTCGCAGCCGTATATTTTGGGGTCCTTCAGCGTCAGACTGCTGCTTTCTCTGAACAGCATCTTCGGCAATGGCGGATTACGATAACTACGATGACCGGGATCGGGCGTACGGGAGCTTTGGCGGTGGAAGAGGGTAAGAAACCTCGCGTGCGAGGAGCGGAGAGGCGTGCGTTTTAGGTGGGAGTCAGCAGGGCTGTGCGTGTGGCCGCCGGTTTGCAGGACACCCAGCGGCTGTAGGCCACGCAGCGGCGGCGCGCTCCCCGCTATGATGAATGAAGGCCGGGCTAGAAACTCAGCCCACATGGGCTGCATGTCTCGCGGCTGACTGATTATTTCAGAGGCCTAGTGTGTTTTTTTTAAACATTCCTTTTCGACTATGCCTCTTAAATCAGGTTATGATGTCATGATTGTTGCTTTATTTGGGCGACAGCATGCTGGCGTGTTTAGCACGGTCTAACGTTAAGTTACATTGGGCCTTAAATTGCGGTTTGACTCCCATTTATGCTTCTCCGCAGTTTTTAAACACTCCAAAATGTTAGTTTATGAGCAAAATGATGGTAGCTTGAGATAATGGCGCCTTCACAGTTTTGTACATGCACAGTGGAAGTCTCTGGTGTGAGTGTCATGTAGATGAACATGTGCATCTGTATTCTGCTCGCGCGGTTAGAGTCCACTTTTAACAAACGAGGGATCTTGTGTTTGTTATTGAGGTAAAGTTGGTTTTATATCCACACATTTGGACTTTCTCTTTAATAATATGATTTCAGAAAAGTGTTATTGGAAGATTCTAAATACCGCGAAATCATTATTAGCTGACAATGACTATCAAAGCACACCAATGTTCAGTCAGTTAAATCGTGCTAATGTTGTTTTGTAGTCGTACTTGTGCTTTCAGACCGAATATTCAAAGTAACTTAACATGATAAACAATATAAGGATATTATAATAAGTAGTCACTGAACGAATTTGCAAATATAAAGCCAATTTGACATAGTGTTTAACACATTTGTGGCTATGGTTTTACGTCCATACCGTTTCTCAGGTATGTGTGGCATTAATCGCTTCTTGAGTATTGAAACAGAAAGTAAGTCCACTTGATGTATGTAAACCTGTGGGTTTTGTGTTCAATTTGGGCTTCGTTTATTGTGCTGCATTATTACTGAGGAACCTTTGTGTGTACAGAGTCTTGAAAGTTGAGGTTGACGACGACTTAGCCACTTTTACACCTCTGTCTGATCTCTTCAAGCTAAAATGGCCAAACACCTTATTTAATCAGTTATTAGTTAAATGTTTCAGTATACCATGGTATTTCCTTGTTTTTAAAGTTCTTAAAAAAGGGATCGTTCACCCAAAACCCTCCCTTCATTTGCTCCTTAAAGAAAGCTGAAAACATGTGTTCAATGAAAAGAAGAAATTTAAAGAATCTTAAAAACAAAATTGAAGAAATAACACAATGTTTTGTTTTCAAATGCAAACTAACCCCCTTTTCGCAAACCTAAAGGCTCAAATACACTCAAGGTTATAATAAACAAACACACACCGATCGCCACATAAACCCAGTGTGTATGTCTGTGAAAATAAACATCTGGGCTGTATCAGGTCGCTTTGCATTAGATCTGTGTAATAAAAGGACAGCAGTGTAAATGCAGTAGTAGTCTCCATTGGTAATATGAATCAAACTACAAATAAGTCACCGCTGAACCACATTAGTAGTATAATATGCATACTTGAATGCAGTTATTTTTACTGAGCTGTTCTCACTGGCCACTTTATTAAGTACACCTGTCCGTCTGCTTGTTAATACAAATTTCTAATTAGCCAATCACATGGCAGCAACTCAGTGCATTTAGGCATGTAGACATGGTCAAGACGATCTGCTGCAGTTTGATCTGAGCATCAAAATGGGGGAGAATGGTGATTTAAGTGACTTTGAACATGGCATGGTTGTTAGTGCAAGACGGGCTGCTCTGAGTATTTCAGAAACTGCTGATCTACTGGGATTTTCATGCACAATCATTTCTAGGGTTTACAGGAAATGGTCCGTAAATGAGAAAATTCTGTGGGCGCAATTACCTTGTTGATTCCAGAGGTCTGAGGAGAATGGCCAGACTGGTTGGAGCTGATAGAAAGGCAACAGTAACTCAAATAACCACTTGTTACAACCGAGGTCTGCAGAAGAGCATCTCTGAATTCACAACACGTCCAACCTTGAGGCGGATGGGCTACAGCAGCAGAAGACCACAGCAGGTGCCACTCCTGTCAGCAAAAGGCGTTCTCAACCGTGCTAACCGAACCGTGCCCAAGCCCGTTTCCCGGATCGTTTAAGAAGTGTGAGTGAGTTAAGTATGAGTGCAAAGCGCACCTGAGCCCAAAACTGAAGGCGAGACAAGACTTTTAAGGGACTGTTTCATTTGGATTTATTAATTATTCATACAGTTCAAGGAACACAAACTATCGTAGATTATTAAAGACACAAACTCCTCACTGCATGACAGCTACACCTTTAGCAAACCTCCTAATTCTTGCAGCACGAGGACTTTATGATTGTTTATGAGTGACAAAAGTGGCGGATCTGTTCGGCGAAATATTTGACTGCGTCACTATCAAATGACTAAAACAATATAACTGAAGAAATCTCCACTGTGCTGAGCGAGAGCACTTCTTACTGAACAGCGCATCATCGATGACGGAAGCAAACTCGGGCACGAATGCATGCGAGTGCGGGCCATCGGGGGGGATGGGAGGGTGGACAAGCATGCTTCGGCCCGGTCCAAGGAAACTGTACATAGTGTAAGTACACCCCAAGAACAGGAAATTGAGGTTACAATTCTCACAGGCTCACCAAAAATGGACATAAGAAGATTGGAAAAAGGTTGCCTGGTCTGATGAATCTCGATTTCTCGACATTCAGATGGTCGGGTCAGAATTTGGTGTCAACAACCTGAAAGCATTTATCCATCCTGCCTTTTATTTACAGTTCAGACTAATGGTGGTGGTGGTGGTGTAATGGTGTGGGGGATATTTTCTTGGCACACTTTGGGCTCATTAGTATCAATTGAGCATCGTGTCAATCCCACAGCCCACCTGAGTGTTGTTGACCATGTCTATCCCTTTATGACCACCGTGTACCCATCATCTGTTAGCTGTTTCCAGCGGGACAACGCACCATGTCATAAAGCGCAAATTATCTCAGACTGGATTCTTGAACATGACAATGAGTTCACTGTACTCAAATGGCCTCCACAGTCACCAGAACCCAATCCAATAGAGCACCTTTGGGGACGGGAGATTCGCATTATGGATGTGCAGCCGACAAATCTACAGCAGCTGCTGTGTGATGCTATTATGTCAATATGGACCAAAATCTCAGAGGAATTTTTTCTGTTTCTTGTTGAATCTGTGCCACAAAGGATTAAGGCAGTTCTGAAGGCAAAAAGGGCTCCAACCCGGTTCTAGTAAGGTGTACCGAATATAGTGGCTGGTGAGTGTATGTTAAAAGAGCAAATCTAACACTAAAGCCTGATTTATACTTCTGCGTCAAGTGACCGGCGTAACCCACGGCGCATGCAACGTGCGTGGCTGTGCATTTATACTTCTGCGCGCTGTCTCTGTTGGTCTGCATTAACACTTCCGAAACGCTAGTTGGCAGTGAGGTGTAAATCTTCCGGAATGTACAAGTGGCTCAAACTCGCTCATTTTGAGGCAGGAACCGGCGGACATGCAACAACTTTAACTATGAGGTAAACACAAAACAAAACTTTCCATCCGGAGCTCCTTCATGGGACTCCACACTTGTAAACAATCGCTCGCGCCATTTGTGCGCCTCTCGGTCCCGCCCAGACTCGTCAACGCTACCAAGCCGACCAATCACAGAGCTTGCGCTACACGTTGGTGCGACGTGTAGTTACATTTTTTTGAGAGGTGCACGTCAGTGACGCCAATGGCCACGACGAAGGGCTATGCGTCAGCGCCGTAACATACGCCAACGTTTGACGCAGAAGTATAAATCAGCCTTAACACCACTTCCCATGTGGTCTCCCATCCAGGTACTCACCGAGTGCAGACCTGCTTGGTTTCAATGGGTGACCCACTAAAATTAAAATTAGTTTTAAATAAAGATTATTAATTATAATTAAAAAGATCATCTGCCAACCTTTAAGTGATGGAGATTTATCGCTTATTTAATCAATATGACCTTTATGGTTTAGATGTTTTTCGGTTCTGTTGGGTTACGAACAGCAGAGCAATTCCATGCAAATGTCAACCCAAAAAAGCGAAACCCCTTCTAGTTTTTTTTTTTTTTGTGTGTAGGCTTGTATTTTACAGTACTGTAAAATATAAAAAATGAGTGCTTTCAAACCATTATATTTGAGGGTGCTTTCACACCTACACTTTTGTTTCGGAACGTATCTCGTTTGCCCAGTTAGCGCGGTTCGATTGGCATATGTGAACAGGGCAATCACGCTCTGTTCCGCGCCAAAGTAATCGCTCCGAGATCGCTTGAATGAAGTGGTCTCGGCTCGATTGAAACGAACCCTGGAGCGGTTCGATTGCAGTGAGAAAGCGATCCGATCCGAGCGCGGTTATATCACAGTGTTTTATGGATATGTAATAGGCTTACGGCTATATGAAGAGAGAATTATGAGTAGGGCGGGAAGTTCCGCGAGTCTCCGGATGCCCGCAAACGAGTGATGATCTCCCGGTAATCTCGCGTCTCTCTCCCAGTTCTCAAATAGGCATCGTCGCGCACCCTTCTCACCCCTCCCCACTGTGTCTCTCCTCAGACACGTCACGCGCGCACCCTGTCAATCACCACCAAACCACCACCTCTCCTGACGGCTGAGCGGGACGCTGCAAAATAAACCCTGACACTCTGACCAATGTAAGGAGAGTTTACTCGCGCGTGACTTGTTTTAGCTCTTTTGGTCCGATTAGAAACTTTGCAGTGTGAAAGCGAACCGCTCCAAGAGCAAAGAGCAACAATGTAAAAATTTTAATCTCTGTTTCGGAACAACTGAATCGATTCACAGGTGTGAAAGCACCCTGATTAACCAAGTCACACAAGTGCCAATTTCACATAAGTCATATCCTCAACGGAGCTTTTTCCTCATAAATGCAAAAATGTCAAATCAAATACAACAATAATGTTTGTTCTGTAGACAGGGCTCATATGGTCAGGGAAAGCCTGGAAAAGTCATGGAATTTTGACATGGCATTTTCTAGGCCCGGAAAAGTTTTGGAAAAACAAAAAACCCCACAAGGTTTTGGAAAAGTCATGGAAATTACATTTACATTTAGTCGTTTAGCAGACGCTTTTGTCCAAAGTGACTTAAGCTGCAGTTACTCTAGAGCTTGCAAATTTCTGTCGTATGTCGCTGCGAAAAGGGCCGTGGTGAAACAATATGATTAGACATTAATAAAAGTGAGTGATTGCACCATATTTTAAATTCCTTATTTTAAATGATCGTAAAATGCGATGTGATCATTTAAATGATGTGCGGCCAGTTTCATTTTCACTTCCTAGTGCGGCTCATGGCTGCGGTCTCTGTGATAAAACACACACACAGGCAAATCGTTCTTTCAACGTGGCTCTCAAACGATCGCTCTGTGCAACAAACTGAACGTTATTTAAAACTTTATTACTTGTTATTCACAGCCTATGCAGGTTCTGTTCACTTAAGTACCGTTAGCCATCATTGGTGTGCTGCGTGCACACACATGCATTCTCGGTAGCTCGTGGTCAGCTCACGCATGATTTAGCGGACGTGAATACGTATTACACGAAGACAGAAATCACATTTCTGGGTGAATTATACTTTATAAATATAGTTTGTAACACTTTTAACGCCATTTGAAGGTGTCAATGTTCCTGTGAAGACTTGTGTGACTGCCTTGCTTCTCTCCTGACCTTGTAAATATAATTGAATCTTAGAAAAGCTTAATTAAGATCGTGTGTAGGGTCGAATCGAGATCGTGATCTTTTTTTCGATCAATCGTGCGCCCCTAGTATGAACCCTGTATAGAGAGCCAACTTTTTCTTTCTTTTTTTGTTATCATTTCTTTTGGGTTTTGCAGTTCAATTCACATTATTTCTACAAAGTTTGTTTGTATACTCACAAACATTTGGGTAACCTCCATAACACTGGCTTATTTTCCTCGTTTAAACTATAAAATGTATATAAAGCTTGATGTTTTTCTGACCCCATAACTCTGTGGTTAGCTGTTTTGGAATAGAACATGTTCTAATAGAAACATGTTTCATTATCTTGTTAACATACTTTCTCTGTGCATTTATGTTTTAAGTTTTTCCTGCAAACGTCACATCCATAACGCTGGCATTGCTCAGCAGCAGTAACTTCCCATTTGCTTTGGACAGCACAGGTCTGAAAACATAAGGTAGAGCGGAGATGTCATGTCACACTATAGCTCATCTCAGGGCCTCCTTCTGACACCAGAGGAATGTCTCTGGCATATCACATCCCACCAGAAGCGCTCACTGATTCGCTTCAAATGGAACTGAATCTTGTGTTACAGACAGAAAGCAAAGTAGTCGTCCAACAATCAAATACATTATAGATTTCATAAAACATACTGTCAGTAGCTGTTTTATTGAGCAGTTTTCACATATTAGCTCCCCTGAATTATTAGCACCCTGTATATTTTTTCCCCAATTCCTGTTTAACGGAGAAGACTTTTTTTCTACACGTTTCTAAACATAATAGTTTTAATAATTCATTTTCTAATAACTGATTTCTTTTACCATCATCATGATGACAGCACATAATATTTGACTAAATATTTTTTCAAGATGCTAGTATTCAGCTTGAAGTGACATTTAAAGGCTTAACTAGGTTAGCTTTGATAACTTGGTGAATTGGGGTAATAGTGTATAGTGGAGGAACTATGACTTCAATTTGTATGTAGAAACCCGGAAGCGAGTTAGCATTACAGCAGTTCCGGTTCCCTCGTGTCAAAGTCAATGGGTTTTTTCAGTGGGATTTCAGTTAAATCGCTTAAATAAGATTCGTGACTAACACAAACTTAAGATACTTTCACATTTTATTCTACGATATAATCAGTTACAACTCACTCTTGATTTTGCAAATTAATTAAGCTTCTTTAAAAAGACTGTTGCTATCAAGTTGCTAAATGGGACTTCAGGCGGTGTCGGAGACATTATACAGGCATTTGGATTTGTCTGTTTTTTTAAGTATTTTCTTAGTATTTTATATTTTGTTGTGTTTTTCTAATTGGGAATTCATGTTGTGTGTAGATAATTCCTTCACTTGTAAAGGCTGTCGAGATATTAATTTGTTGATCCTTTATTTTAATTAAAAATATTATAAAGATACTGCTTACCAGTGCAGCCTCTCTTTCTTACCTTCCCCTGAAGGCTCAGTAGTCCGTTTATAGCCTTATGTTAGCTTTTCAGTTCTTGCGTTTGCATTAAAGATGTAAAAGTGCTCAAAGTTGTATTTTCGTGTGAGGATTATCTAACTGGACAAAACGTGTAAGTGTAATGAACGGTTTAAACACAGAGATCATTATTTGCAATCTTCGAAAAGCCTATAAGAAAATCTATGGATTTTGAGGGAACCAGTTTTATGCTAGCAGGCGATTAGCCTACAAGGTGACGTCATAGTTCCTCCACTCTATATGCACAGCTAGTGTTTCTTCCCATACTGATAAACTTCCTGTAAATGGTTAATGTGACCTTTTTCTATTTTATAAGGTTAATTTTACAGCATCAATGTTGTAATGGAATTAAAATATAATCCGTTAAATAGACTTCAGCATTCATTTAGTTGCTTAAGCATAAAACGAGATGAAAGCCATTTACACGCACGCGGCCATCAGTATTGACAGGCTAGCGCTAAAGCTCCATTGAAAAAACTGGAGTAAAATTAATGTTCATATTGTAAAGAGATGGCGCGGGAAAATTTTATTTAATGCTGTGCTTGTACAACAGACCCACTTTATATCATATTTCTATCAGGCAGTGAAGATTGTTGGTTTTTAAAGAAAACAGACCTTAAAGGGCCATGAAACCCCCTCGTTTCAGCAGGGTGTTTTCACACCTCTACTTTGGAAAAAGTCAGAAAAGTGGGCGTGTCCAGCTCTGTTTAGGGGGGGGTGTCGGAGGAAGAAAAGTGGGAGGGTGTGGGAGTGTCTATTTGGGCACGGGCGAGTTTCAGGGTCAAAATACACACACACACACACACACAGTAGAAAGGGATGGTGTTTAACCTACAAGGACATCCGTAGTCGAATTATTTGCTAAATTATTAAATGGTGGACTTTAACTGCAGTTTGGCTCTTTCATTCAGGGAAGTCATTCATGTCCCTCGCGACAAACGAGATATTTGATTCGAGGAACTGCTCTAAGCGTGTATTTTTCATGCAGTGTTTGATACCGCACGGCGAATGGGAGAAAAAAAACCTCCGCATTTCCCGGAAACTTAGATGCACATAGCAGGTAGTGTCAGAGAGTCGCGTGTGTTATTCCGGTCACTAAATGCGGTGAAAACCCTACACGAGGTTAAAGTTTGGTTGTGGTGCTAACATGTTTACACTCGTGCAATAGTTAACTTAGTTCGATACAAACAAACTGAATAAACAAAGAGCACTGGTCGCTCACTTACCAAATCTGTAGAGACAGGACAATCACCAGCAACTAGAGCCGCGTCTTTATGAAGAGAATACTACAAGCGAATCCGGATCTCAGCGTTTGCAGATGAAAACAGCTCTCGGGTAAACAATGTGCCTCCTTAGACACGTAAGTTTTTGTTGTCGAGCGTCGCGTACACTGTTAATCCACACGTGAGTCTGCGCTCTCACAGAGAGAAAATGAAAACGAAACTTAACTGCAGCAAACTATAAAAGCAACACTTCACGCTTGTTTTGCCAACACAACGTGGCATCTCTGTCGTGTAAACACTGTGACAGTAATGAATATTAATGAAGTTGCACAATAGAGCGCGCTGATTGGTTTGAACCAAGCCTTACTCATGCATTAATGCAGCACACTGTAAGACGTAATAAGACACACTCTGGCACAGACGCCCAGTCTGCACGCTGGAATACACGCTATTATGTCATGACCGTGACGCAGCTTCAGAAATTCGTTTCAAACCGGAAGTACGAATTTGCTTGAAATAACGCAATAACAACCAATTTACACTTTTGCATACTGTTCGCCGGAAACGCATGACCCAGGTTACTGCAAAATTAAGTCTTTCCGCATACTTCTGCACATACCCTATTAGGCAAATCAGTGGTCAGGGGCGGATTTAGTGATTTTGGGGCTCTGAGCAATTCCAGCCTTGGGACCCTAAGTCCTAAAACACAACCTTTTTATTTATGTTGCAGTTTTTTAATATCTCTCAATCTTCTTCTTTTCTATGTTCTATCTTAATGTAGTCTCTACATTTTAAATGATCAGTTTCTTAAAATCAATTTACAACTATAGAATGGAATTAATCATTAATTGAACTGCAGCTAATCAATCTAGTATTATCTTTTTTTATTTTGCAGACCCCGAGGTGGTGGTGGCCCAAGCGGACCCCGAAAGCAGAAGGAACTTCCCACAGAGCCTCCTTACACAGCGTACGTTGGCAACCTGCCCTTCAACACAGTGCAAGGAGACATAGATGCCATTTTCAGAGACCTCAGCGTCAGGAGCGTTCGACTAGTCCGAGACAAAGAGACAGACAAGTTCAAAGGTAGGCTTTGCAGCATGCTGCATGTTTAAAACTCCCCCCACTTCTTAAGGTCGGACTTGAAAAGGATACATAATATATGCATATTATATGTAGTTTGTCAAGTTCAGGCTTAGACATAAAATGCATTAAATATGTACTGGGAAACAACTTCTTTTTTTAAAACAGCAAACGCTGCTCTAGGCCTGTTTTTTTAAAAGCAGGTGTCACTCAAGGCTAGTTTTCAACAGCAGATGGCGCTCTAGGCTTTATTAACAGCAGATGGCACTCAAGGCTAGTTTTCAACAGCAGGTGGCGCTCTAAGCTTGTTTTTTAACAGCAGATGTAACTTAAGGTTAGTTTTCAACAGCAGATGGTGGTCTAGTTTTTTTAACAACAGACAGTGCTCTATTCTAGTTTTTTGACAGCAGATGGTGCTGTTGGCTAGTTTTTTTTAACAGCAGACAGTGCTCTAGTCTAGTTTTTTGACAGCAGATGGCGCTCTAGGCTATTTTTTTTAACCGCAGATGGTGCTCTAGGCTAGATTTTTAACAGCAGATGGTGCTCTAGGCTAGATTTTTAACAGCAGATGGTGCTCTAGTCTAGTTTTTTAACAGAGGTTGGCACTCTAGGATAATTTTTTTAACAGAGGTCATCGCTCTTGGCTAAATTATTAACAGCGGACCATAGCCTAGTTTTTTTAACAGTGTATGGCACTCTAGGGTAATTTTTTAACAGGGCAGCGCTCTAGAATAGTTTATTAACAGCAGACACTGCTCTAGTCTATTTTTTTTAACAGCAAATGGCGCTCTAGGCTAATTTTTAAAGAGCAGATGGTGCTCTAGGGTAGTTTTTTAACTGCAGATAAAGCTTTTTTTATATAATTGTTTCTTTTCTTGTCCCAGGTTTCTGTTATGTGGAGTTTGACGACTTGGAATCTCTGAAAGAGGCTTTGACATATGACGGTGCCGTAAGTTAATTTCATAATTTACTTTTTTTTTTTTTTTTTATGGTCAGTAAATTATTTGGGGTCAGCAAAGACACATTTAATTACAGTAAATACCTTTACAAAGATTTGCAGCTTGAGTATATTGTTCTTTGAATTTGTTCAAACCTTTCAGCACTGATAAAGGATTTTTCTTGATCATTTTGGATATTAAATAATTTCTGAAGCATTGTGTGACACTGTAGCTGAATATAGATCTAAAAGTTAAGGTATATGAAGTAGACATTTTTAAATCAGTTGGACTTTAAGGCAGATTTTTAATTGTTTTAGACAAATAAAATCTTGAATTTATAATATTGCGATTTACTGTATTTTAGAGGTTGTGAATAACCCATTTTGTTAATTTAAGCATTCATTTATGATATCAAGATTTGTACATTTAAAAAAAAAAACATCATAATTTGGCAGTGATAGGCTATTTATATTCTATGTTGTGCTCATTTAAACATATGGTTGGATTCATGTTTGAAACTGGGCAGAATGTAGACTGGGACATAAAAATTATGTCTGATTTGATCAGTTAACATTTTTAAATCTTTACTATCTCTTCTAAGATTAGTTCTAATAGTTTGAAAACATGGCTGTGCGCCAACAATACAAATTTATGCTAAGGTTTAATGTCTACATTTGTCTGGGATGGTTGCTGCTGTGGTAGGGTTTAGGGTTCAATTTCCTGGTTGGCATTCGAGTTCAATTGGCCCACACAGTGTTTTTTGGCTTCTGACTCGCAAAATGTTTGCATCATCACAGGGGCAGGTGTTGCTAGGTTACAGTTGCATGGGAAAGCAATGCAATTGCTGAATACAGCTGCTTGGGTGCTTCAATTTGATCTTTGAACTAGATATAGTAGAGATGTGTTTTTTTGCATATTTATCATATGTAATGTAAGAGTCTTCTGCTTTTGGCTAAATATTGGCAGTTATTAGATATACACTCACCAGCACCTTTATTAGGTACACCTGTCCAGTTGGTACTAATGGGCCTAAAGTGTGCCAAGAAAATATCCCCACACAATTACACCACCACCAGCAGCCTGAGCTGTTGATACAAGGCAGGATGGATTCATGCTTTCATTTTGTTGACGCCAAATTCTGACCCGACCATCTGAAGGTCACAGCAGAAATCGAGACTCATCAAATCAGGCAACGTTTTCCCCAATCTTCTGTTGCAGGGTTCAACGCTAAGTATTTTTTTTTATTTGCCCGATCAGGCCTATGAAGGATAGACATATGCCAAACGAACTGCACGAACTGGGCAAGCGAGACAGAACATCTAGGTGTGAAAGCACCCCAAGACTGTATTTGCATGCAACTGACAACAGTCAAAGCCAAATTAAACTTGACTCACAAGGCAGCCCAATCAGGCCAGTAATGATGCTGTCTACTGTCCCGAGCATCTCGCACACTGGCCCCGGGTGTGGTTGACCCGGTGTAGTCTTCTGCTGCTGTAGCCCATCTGCCTCAAGGTTGGACATGTTGTGTGTTCAGAGATGCTCGTCTGCATACCTGCAGTGGTTATTTGACTTACTTTTGCCTTCCTATCAGCTGGAACCGACTGATCCACTGATCTGGCTATTCTCCTCTGACCTCTTGCGTCAACAAGGCATTTGTGCCCAAAGAACTGCCGCTCGCTGGATAATTTCTCTTTTTTTGATGGTTGTGCGTGAAAATCCCAGTAAAATCCCAGGCCCATTCATGTTTAAAAAAAAAATCTAAATATTAAAATCTTTCAAGGTTTTAAGACGCTGATTGATGACAGCTAAACATGTCCTAAGAGTCTTGTAAAAAAGGGTTCATTGTACATCGTTTAAAAATGAATCTGCAGGGAAATAAAGAGAAACGACCAATGTTTTATTGAGGTTTTCTGGTGGTTTATTAAAAAATAAAGTTTATTCATACTTTTCCTGATTTTTTTACTATTAAAGCATGCTGTAAGCAAAACTACTGTTACAGATTATTTGTGTTTGCCATGAGCATGTCAGAACTTGAATGGGGAAAGTGTCACTGATGGATGACGTCAAACTCCAGGGGCCTCATGTACAAAGATTTGCGTTGAGTTAATACTAAAACATTGCATATGGACAGCTGTAAATGTGCGTACATGGTAAAAAAAAAAAAAAGATGTATGAAACACTGTGTATGCGGAATCCCACGCATATATTTGTACATCCGACTTAACGTGAAACTGAGCGCACGTACACGAGCGCAAAACCCCTCCCCCTAATAAATATGATAATGACTCTACTTTGAAAACCGCAATGGCAAAAGCAAGCAAAAAGAGAAAATTCACAGAATGTGAATTGGAGGTGCTCCTATCAGAGATAGACTGGAAAAAACGATTTTATTTGCAAGTTTGTCCTCTGGAATTAATAACAAAAGAAAAAAATAGTGAGAGTTTAGCTGACGCGGTTAACGCAGTTGGGTCTGAACATCGCACTGTGTGGGAATTGAAATAAAGAAATGGTCCGATGTAAAGGTGCAGGTTAAGAGGAGAACAGCGGCGCACCATCAAAGTGTAGAACAGGCAGGGGAACAGGGGATGCTGAACTTACACCCTTTGAGGAGAGAGTTGCCTCAATTGTGGGCGACACTACTGTCTGGAGTAGTATCTGTGTCTGTGGGAACACTTTGTTAGGGCTGTACAGCAGCCCCCCTCTGCTCTTATCACCGGCATTCCAGCTGCCCAATCACATTTGAGCATCACATATTATTTGCACATTTATAGAATGGAAATGTTTCCTATTCACATATGCAAATTCGTCTTCAGATGGTGCCTTCATAGCAATGTGCGTGAAGTTGATCACTCCAATTATATTAGGAAAACCGGTGATCGATGCAAATTGCGCTTTAATGTTTGGCTGGCCAACTGCATGGTGTGGAAACCTTATATACCTGCTAGACATGCGGATGATCCCATCCCATACAGCTGCCATTACACGGCTCAAAGACGACTGGCTTAACCCCGAGCGATCTGCCAGTTCCCTTTGGAAAGAACCAGTTGCCAAGATACTTTGTTGGTGCGATACTTTGTAGTGTGCAATTTAACGTAATTGCCTCTAGGAGTTGCCAATGGAAAAAAACACACACACGAAACACGCGTACGCCAGACATGAAGTTGGCGTGGACCAATGCACAATTTTACGTTATCGTTAGTAAATCCAAACGTGAGTGTGAACTCTGGCGTACGCAAAGTTCATACAAGCCCTGGTGACTTTTCTAGCGTGTGTCTGTGTTTGCCGCATCTTGATTTTCATATTCACACAATCTGACATGCTACAATCGTTTTGCATTGTTAAATTATTCAAAAACGCACAGCATGACTGCGTGAGCCGAGTTTTAGTGTACCGTTTGTTGTATTGAGTCTGTTCTGATGGAGATCTTTCTTCCACAGCTGTTAGGAGATCGATCTTTGAGGGTGGACATCGCAGAGGGCCGAAGGCAAGAACGTGGCGGCGGAGGCTTTGGCTTCCGGAAAGACGACAGAGGTACTGGCTGCTTGATACTCCTTTCATCATCTACGTCTGTTAGTGCCGCTTACTCATGTCTTCCTGTCGATATGTGTACTTTCTGCTGCTTTGTGTTTTTATTCTTAGCAATGTGAGCAATGCTGGGGCTGGTGGGTCCAATTATATGTACTGTAGAGACACCGTTACCTTCTAGACATATTTAAATGCACGTTTATTTAAGTAACTCCTTGTGAAAGGGCAGTTTTTGGGTCATTTAAAATAAGTCATCCCTGGAACTAATGACCTGTGTTCAGTAGCTGAGTCATATGGTCATCGAGTGACGGATTCACAGTTGTGCATTTGTATTCAGGGGAAGAGGTGGTCCATAATATTTGCTTACAAATTAGACAAGCTGTTTTTGCATGAAGGCAGCCCACAGATAATAACAGTCAGCTTAAACACAGTGTTAAGTAAAGATCCTTTTCTGTTTTGAACGTCTTTTAAAGTTTTTTAATTCACAATCATTGTTTGTTTAGGAGTAAAACATAGTGTGAAACACCTGAACAATGGTACATGCTAGTCAGCATTTGTAGAGGATCAAAACTTTTCATTAGTGTCGTCCTAAAATCTTAATGTTCTTGTCTTCGGATGACTTTGATTTGAACTATTGTATCCTGTAGAGCTGTGCAATTAATCGAAAATCCGGTTTCGATTTCGATTACGGCTTCTAACGATCATAAAAAACCATTAATCGAGATAAACGATTATTCCATCATATACCGCCTCCTTTCCAGTTCCACGTGAAAGTGACTAAAAGCATGTACCCTAATGTAACTTGAGCAGCATGGGATGCGCATCATTCATATTTTTAAAAGCGCGAAAGAGCACGTGCTGTTGTGTGTGTGTGCTGCGCGCTTAGCCTCGGACAACAGAGCACACGGACATCTAACCCCATCTTAATGCGAGCGATTTAATGGTCAAATGCATGCGCGGTGTTTAGTGATTATTCATATTAATCCTCATTTGTGTAATATACAAACAAGTTGAGAATCAAGACACGTGAAAGAGAAGTCATATCGGAGCCGCACTATTATTAAAGTGACAGCGTGCGATATTCCTGCTGCTGTTTTTATTATTAATCAAACAACAAAAGGACAAAATCCACTCACTGCTCTTGACTGAAGGACTTTTGTAGTTAATTTTTTTTCTTACAGTTAAAACAGGTTAATCATAAAAGATTTAATCACTCATTTCTAATAACTGATTTCTTTTATCTTTGCTATCATGACAACACATAATATTTTCCTAGATATTTTTCAAGATACTAGTAATCAGCTTAAAGTGACATTTAAAGGCTTAATTACAGTAAATAGGCAAGTCATTATGTAACAGTAGTTTCTTCTACAGACAATATAACGTATATATTACTTAAGGGGGCTAATGATATTGAGGTATTAAAATAGGTTTCAAAATATTTAAACCTGCTTTTTTTTCTAGCTGAAATAAAACAAATAAGCCTTTCTCCAGAAGAAAAAATATTACAGGAAATACTGTAAAAACAAATGCTCTGTTAAACATAATTTGGGAAATATTTGTATATAAAAATAAATTCAAAGAAGGGCGAATAATTTTGACTTCAACTGATAATCGTTTTAAATAATCGTGATTACAATTTTGACCAAAATAATAATCGTGATTATGATTTTTCCCGTAATCGAGCAGCCCTAGTATCCTGCTAGTGGACATGGGAGTAGCATATAAATAAAATAAAATGGTGTAAATATCAAGGACTTTTGCTGCTTTACCATGGTTGAAGCTGGTGCAGTGCTATTACACAGCACTTGAAAATAATCACTAGTAGGGCTGCACAAAATATAGAAAAAAATATTATCACGATGATAATAACAGGGTTCATACGGTCATGGAAAACCTGGGAAAGTCATGGAATTTTGACGTGGCATTTTCCAGGCCTGGAAAGGTTTTGAAAAACCCACAAAGTTTTGGAAAAGTCATGGAAAACTGATATCTGTGTACTTGAAAATAGGTTATTTACTACTTTTTTGTTCTTGGCCAATCACATACTCTCACATTATTAGTGGGGTGCAAGCATTATGTAAATAAATTTTTACATGGATATACGTATAAATTGGAACTAGATTCAGTGTTTGCTCTAGGATTTTTTTCCAGATGTGGAGGCAGGCCTTTTTTTTTTACACTGATCTACTAACTACCTGTGGCTTTATTTCAATGACAAATGTTGTGAGCGCAGTATTAGAAGTCGGGATCGCATTTATGTAATAGCCTAATCTCTGTGCTTGCGCTGATTTCCTCTGCTCGTGCACAGAACTTCTTGCACGCCCCCTCAAATATAAGCTGCTTCAAGGACGCGCAGATCTTCTTGTGCGCTCTCAAATAAACGCTGCTGAGTGTGATTTAGTGCGTTTATGTAACGAGTATGTCTCCAGCGATTATTAGATTTGCTAGGAATATTTATGAATGTCTACAATAAACCTACAGAGTAGCATTAATGCGTGATACATGAACAGTTCATTAATTTGCAGCAAGAATATTCTATTCTACTTTAGGCATTTAAGTTGTTGTTACATGAATGTTGAACAGCAATGCACATGAAATATAATGAACGACGTCATGAAAGTTTGGTACTACACCCAAACAAAATCTGGCTGTAAGCTTATTTTTTTGAGATATTAGCTTTGTGTAAGAGATCAAACTTCATTCAATAACTGAACTTTTTTATTTATTTATTTATTTTTTAGCTTTTTTAGGTGGACTATCCCAATAAATATATGCTCCGAAGTATTCAACACTTTGTTGAAATGTTATATTGTGTTTTTTTAAATAGCACAATGGATTCAGATGTGAAAAGTACATACAGCATGTACAAATGCAATTTACCGTGCTAGAAAAGCAGAAAATTGCACCTTGAAAGTGCTTGAAATGCTGGAATTTGAAGTTGGAAAAGGTGTAAAAACCCTGACTATAATAACCAGTATTGAAGTACAGTAGCATAGTAGGCCTAATTAAGCAGCTACAGCACTGCATTAAAAAACCCAGGCAGATTAATTCCTATTATTAAGAATATTTATTATCGTCAGCCACTTTAAATATTATAAATCGTTTAAACATTAACATTGCACTGTGCTTACAGTATATAAAAAAAGAAGTCAATGTTTAAAATGTCCTTTTAAAAGTTAATTAAATTGACACTGTTTTTAAAAAGTAAAAATAAAACTTCTCTACTTAAATGTAAAGTGTTATCACATAGTAGCCTGGTTATCAAAACCTGGAAATGTTCCTTGGACCTCATAGATATGAGATATATGTCATCATATTCATATATAAACTCTTTTTGATACATTTTTAAATTTACGAATAAATCATATACATGCAACATATTTATATCTTTGAAATCTAAACATTAACTTGTATTTTAAATCTATGAATTGGATTTACATAAATTAAAAATTAGATCTGCTTACTGTGCTGCCATCTAGTGGTTAAACTTGAGCACAGCAATGGCGGGTTCAACTGTTGACCTCTAGAGGGAGCTTTAAGGCTCACAAACCGAATCCTCCTTTGATTCTATAAATGAATGAATGAACAAACAAACAAATAAATAAATTAACAAACTACGATGCTAATTATAAAAATCCTTTCAAATAACAAATCAAATAGAAATGTGATATGGTATCTAAAAATGACAGGAAGTAATCAATAAAAGAGTTAACAATAGTCAATAAAATGGGATAAACACACGTTTTTAATGTGTTTTATTGATACAAAAGTCGCTTTAATATTAATTTTAATTGTTATAATTTTTAAATTATATTGTATTCTGTACTCTTTGTTGAGGACGTGATTAAACAAAAAAAAAGCAAGTGATTAAACCATACCTGTCAACATTGGGATATAAAAATACACCCCAACAACTGTTACAAAAATGAAGAGAAAATGAGCTACAATGGAGAGGAAATTAGTAACAAATGATGGAATACATTATAAACATCAAAAATTTTAAATAAAACCTATTAAAATCAATGTACTGATCGAATCGGTGTTATCGTACACGTAGGGCTGGGCGATTTTTATTATTTTTTTTTCCGTTTTTTTTTTTTTTTTTTTTTTTTTTCGATTAATTCGAATTTACGTTTTAAGACTATTTAATTTTGAATTAAATCGAGTAATTGCGTTTTTTAAAAATATATAAATTTAATACATTATAATGGCACCAGTGCGCTTTGGTTCACTCTCTGTATGATGCAGGAAGCACACCAGAAGCGCCTCTCGGGGACGCGCAGCACCACGCCATAGATTTTAGAATTCTAAACAGGTTTCTATACACACACCGGCGCCCCCCAGCCACAATTCACGAAGCAGTTCTCATTTCAGCCGGCTCACAGAGCGCCATCTGATTAGTTTCATGTTAAATATCATGCAAATGTGCGCATTTGGTGTGTGTTAGTTTAAACTGTCACGTTCGCGCCGTGTCGCGGCGCTTCTGGTGTGCGACCTGCTTGACTGCCTGTTAAAGCGTGAAGTCATGTAGGATTTTACTTGTTGCACATCTGTGTGGATTGTCAAGACTTTTCCTCATCAAGTCGATAAACTCGATCTCAACATGTATGAAGGACGTAAAAGCCTGCCATGTGAAAAACCGCGCCGACCTTTTGGTTTGAACACAAGTAGAAGTGAGGGACTCACTGTAGCAGGGAAAATGAAAGTACCCGCCCCCATGACGTCATTTAGCGGACCTAGTTGAAAACCAGACAGATCAGGCAGCATAATACAGAGAGTGCAGCAAAGCGCATCGAATGATCAGTATTTAAAAGGGGGAAAAAGAAAAATAGATTAAATATATTATTTTATATTAAACACACATCTGGTGCTTTTATTTGCTCTTGCTATACGTCCACAACTTCATACATTGGGTTAAATTAGGCTGTAGTTTCCATGTTCAGTCCTTTACTTCCACTGTATCTTTTTAAGAAAAAGGCAGCAGCATTACAACCTGACATTCAATCAGAAGACAAAGTCAAAGCCGAGCTGACAGCCAATCTTTCCTAGGCTCAGCAAAACTTGCAAAAAATACCTCTGTATTCCTGCAACTGCAATATTTACACAAATATTTTTTATTCAAATCTTCAGCAATGCTATTTAACTCGTGAATTTGTTTTACATTTATTTACACCTTGACCGAAATTTTTTTTTTTTTTTTTTTGGACATGCCCATTAAAAATATTCCTTAACCAGATGGTTTTTCAAGTTACCTTCAGTCATGTTGTTGTAATGTTTTGAGAAGACTAGTTACACAATAAAAAAAGTTACACAATAAAAAAAAGAATCGAAATCGTGAATCGGTCAAACTTTATAAAAAATCTAGATTTTTTTTTTTTTTGCTAAATCGCCCAGCCCTACGTACACGGCAAAGGGTTAAAAGTGTGCAAATTTTTTTTTTACTTGAATTATTCAGCGATTTCTCTGCATACCACTAGAAGAAAGCCGGCGTACCTCTAGTGGTACGTTTACCACAGTTTGAGAACCACTGATTTAAGCCATCTTTAGTGTTATTAGAATTTATGATCAGTTTAGTTAGAGCCTTGACCAAAATGTTGGTCTAACCACCCACCCCAAGCAATGCTCAGTATTGATATGTATGTGTGCTTTGGTGGTATTTTTGTCTTCTGTGCTTCTTCTGCATGACTGCATCGCTTCTACAGCTTCAATTCTCATTCGCTGCTCCTAAGCCGGGTTTCTCACAGTCATTGTTCATATTTCATCTTTTTGTTCTTCTGTTTTCCCTCACCCTTCAATAGAGAAACTCTTTGTAGCTCCTCTTCCTTCCCCTCTAACACACGGAGTGCTTTCCCATAGGCTACACTTCCCTCTCCGGCTGGTGTCTTCCTGTCAGCAGCAATCTCTGATTGGTTCAGTAGAAGCGTTGTCTGGGGTTGGCCCTCTGTTTCACGCTGATCTCCGCTTTGAATTGTTGCCCCTATTAAACAGCCCGTGTCCCTTTCAGGCCGCGGTGGCTCCCGTGGGGCCCGAGGAGGGGGACGAGACTCCAGAGAAGACTTCGACCAGTCTGGAGGAGGTGCGGCGGGTGAAATGGGCAAGAACTCCAACCCTCGGGGGTTTTAGTACTTAATAATTGGCTCTACATGATGGTTTAACAAGAATTTAAGGATCACAGACAGTTACAGAGCATTTCTAATTATGCAAAAATGATCAGTAAACATGTTTGGTATGAATATGAAACCATTGAGCATAGGAGCTGAAATAATTTTCATTTTGGGGGGAAAATATATCAAGAAAAAAAGAGAGAGAGATGCTAATGGTCTAATCTGATTCAATGAATTATGCTAAGCTAAGCTAAAAGTGCTCTTGCCAGACTGGTAGATCGGCTGAATGGATTAAAAATGGTTAAACCCGACTGTTAAACTCTAGCTGACTTGTAAAATTTACCATTTTTCAGAAAAATGAAGTGTTTGTTTACCGCTGTTACTTAAATTAAACCAGTTTGTCATTTAGCTTCTAAACAGATGAAATATGAAGACGTACTTAACTCAAAAAGACTTTGACCAATCTGAAGGAGGTGCGGCGGGTGAAATGGGCAGGAACTCCAACCCTCGGTGGTTTTAGTACTTAATAATTGGCTCTACATGATGGTTTTAACAAGAATTTGAGGATCACAGACAGTTACAGAGCATTTCTAATTATGCAAAAATTATCATTAGACATGTATGGTATGATTATGAAACCCTTGAGCATAGGAGCTGAAATAATTTTCATTTTTTTGGTCATTCTTAGTACACAATGTAACTACAGAAGAGTAAATGGGGGAAATCATCAAGAAAAAAAAAAGAGATGCTAATGGTCTAATCTGATTCAATGAATTATGCTAAGCTAAGCTAAAAGTGCTCTTGCCAGACCGGTAGATCAGCTGAATGGATTAAAAATGGTTAAAATCGACTGTTAAACTCTAGTTGACTTGTAAAATTTACCATTTTTCAAAAAAGTGAAGTGTTTGTTTACCGCTGTTACTTAAATTAAACCAATTTGTCATTTAGCTTCTAAACAGATGAAATATGAAGACTCTCAACTCAAAAAGACTTTGACCAATCTGGAGGAGGTGCGGCGTGTGAAATGGGCAGGAACTCCAACCCTTGGGGGTTTCAGTTATTTATAATTGACACTACATGATCATTTGAGCAAGAATTTGAGGATCACAGACAATTATAAAGTATTTTTTATTATGCAGAAATGATCAGTAAACATGTTTGAGATGATTATGAAACCCTTGAGCATAGAACAGAAATAATTTTCATTTTCGATCGTTGTTAGTTCACAATGTAACTACAGAAGAGTGAATGGGGGAAAATATATTTAAAAAAAAAAAAAAGAGATGCTAATGGTCTAATCTGATTTAATGAATTATGCTAAGCTAAGCTAAAAGTGCTCTTGCCAGACTGTGAGATCGACTTAATGGATTTTTTTTTAAATGGTAAAACTCAACTGTTTAACTCTGTGACTTGTAAAACGTACAATTTTTCCAAAGAAGTGAAGTGTTTGTTTATCGATCTTAAATTAAATCAGTTTATCATTTCGCTTCCAAACCGAGGAAATATAAAACCACTCAAAAAGATTTCAACCAGTCTGGAGGAGGTGTGGCATGTGAAATGGGGAAGAATTCCAACTCTCTGGGTTTTAGTAATAGATTATTGGCTCTACATGGTCATTTTATAAAGAATTTGAGGATCACAGACAATTGCAAAGTATTTCTCATTATGCAAAAATGATCAGATAACAGGCAACACAGTAGCGCAGAAGGTAGTGATGTCGCTTCACAGCAGGAAGGTCCCTGGTTCAATCCTCGGCTGGGTCAGTTGGCGTTTCTGTGTAGAGTTTGCATGTTCTCCCTGCGTTTGTGTGAGTATCCTCCGGGCGCTCTGGTTTCCCCCACAGTCCAAAGACATGCGGTACAGGTGAATTGGGTAAGCTGAATAGTTTGTAGTGTTTGAGTGTGTATGGATGTTTCCAGAGATGGGTTGCAGCTGGAAGGGCTTCCGCTACATTAAACTGATGCTGGATAAGTTGGCGGTTCATTCCGCTGTGGCAACCCCAGATTAATAAAGGGACTAAGCCGAAAATAAAACGAATTATAAGATAACATGCTTAGCATGGATGAGCATAGGAGCATCTTGAATTTGTTCGTTTTATTATTGTTCTCAGTAGAGTTTTGTTTTGACCACAAATATCACATTTAACAATTTATCAAATCTTGTTTTTTAATAATAATAATAATTGTCATTATAAACCATGTTTAATGTTCTATCTATTAGTTTATCTATTTGTTAACTGCATTAGGTTAGATGAAAAAATACTTAGAAAGCATTTATTCAACTCAATGTTCACTTTAACAAATAATAAAAAGTGTTTAATGTGTTAGTAAATATTATCTATTAGCTCTGGGCTGACATGAACCTACAATAAAGTTAAGAGTGCTGTAGTGAAAGTGTTTGGACTCTTGTCAATAGGCTTTATTTATTATTATACATAGTATATTGGTATAAGGTCACACTTTACAATAAGGTATATTAGTTAATGTTAATGCATTTACTAACACGAACAAACAAAGAACAATACATTTACTACTGCATTTGTTCATGTTAGTTAACGCTAGGTAATGAAAATACAGTAGTTCATTGTTAGTTCATGTTAACTCATGGTGCATTTACTAATGTTAACAAGCATGCACTTTGATGTTAATAATACATTAGTAAATGTTTAATTATGATTAATAAATGCTGTACATGTGTCGTTCATGATTAGTTCATGTTAGTAAATGCATTAACTAATGAACCTTATTGTCAAGTGTTACCAGGTATAATATACTGACTGAATACTAAATATACAGTATAATATTCTGATATTACTAGAATATCGCACCGCTATCAGCCAGTCAGACAGGATAAGCAGAGAGAACTGTTGTATAAAATGTGTCTTTTATTCAATTAGAAAAAACATGTTTATTGATCACTTTATCAAGGGGATTAGTCTCACTTAACAAACCTTTATGAGAATAACCCAGAATATTTAATGAAATATAATTCTAAGGACTGAGCTACAGTATTTAGATGATGAGCTACTGTCTGTTTTGATGTTATGTTAATTTTTCCATATATTTAAGTTAATTTTTGAGCATTGATCTCTCCGGGACTCCATCTCATTACCATCAGTCATGTGTCTGCAGAGTCTCCTTGCTGGTGTGAAGTCAGATTTCCTTCCAAATAGAAGTTGTCTATAAATACTGATCTGGGATCAGGCTTACCTTTTCATTTCATTTCAAGCTTTAACTTCTATTGTGTATTACCTTTCCTGGATCAGTATTTTAGTACAGCTTAGCCGTGGAATGGGAGAGTAGGCCACATGGTACTCATAGATATCTCTCTCTCTCTCTCCACAGGATTTAGAGATGATGACTTCATGGGTGGGAGGAGTCGAGGAGGCGGTCGCCCTGGCGACAGAAGGGGGGGTGCAGGAGGTGGAGGTGGTGGCGGCGGCGGCATGGGACGCTTCAGAGATGGACCTCCTCGAGGAGGCCAGACAGACTTCAGAGAACCATCTGATGGTGTCACATTTATTCATTCTCAAAACAGATACACTGAGCAGTTGAATTCAGAATTATTAACTCTCCTGTGAATTTAGTTTATTATTTTCATATACTTCCTAAATTATGTTTAACAGAGCAAGGAAATTTTCACAGTATTTCCTATAATATTTTTTCTTCTGGAGAAAGTCTTATTTGCTCTATTTCGGCTAGAATGAAAGCACTTAATTTTTGAAAAAAACATTTTAAGGTCAAAATTATTAGCCGCTTTAAGCTATATTTGTTTTTGATTGTCTACAGAACAAACCATAATTGTATAATGACTTGCCTTATTAACTTAATCTATTTAAGCCTTTAACCCTCTACTCCACGGTGTAACCATATGGCAATATGATACTTATGTTAATTTCCCTGCCACTGTTTCTTAAAGGCCAACATTACATTTTTTTGGGGGACGAGAAGAACTTAGAGTAGCCAATGATGTGCTTTGGTTAAGTCACATGACATGCTGTGTTTTTCTGTAGGGTGATTTCTGACTGACTGGAGTTTATTGTGAGTAACTGCAGAATGCAAATGTAAACGTCAATATAAACAATTGATCAAATTTTCAGATCCACAAAAAAAATCTGAAACAGCACCTCCAGTAAGTTATGATGACATATTTAAAACTCAAAAAAAATTGTTAATCAAATTATTTTTTTGTAAATTGATCAAATATATATGTTACCAAATGGCGACACTGTCCAATAGTCGAACATGCAATATTGCAGTGGGTTAGCTTGCTAGCAAGGTCAGCTGTGAACTTTTAAGTTGTAACAATAACAACATGAATGCTAGGAATATAATGTTGACCAGTCATGTGTTAATGGCATTTGCATTATGGATAAAATCTAGTTTTTATGGCAATACAATTTTGAATTGATATGAATGCAGGGAACAGCGTATTAGCGAGCACCACCATGTTCTAAGGTGAGTGAAAGAAGAAAAGGAGAGATCTGGCTGTTCCTGCAGATGAAAGTGAGGGTGAGATGGGTTTTAGTGACCATGAGAATGATAGAGACACTTCAGGTAAGTTAGCTCAGAGGCAGATAAGATGTAGCATAGTATATAGTAAAATATATATAAACATTGTTTGCTAGTTGCTACATTATTCTGATGCATCTGGATATACTAGACTTGTTATTTGTTATAATATTTATAGGAGAAAATATTTATGTTCACTGGATGTTGTATGCATGATAATACAATATTAGGTTTGTTTTTAATAATATTCAGCAAAAAAGAGTGGTATGAATGAAAGCTGTTGGAATATGAGTTGTGGTAAAGTATGGATAAGGTGTCATTTATAGGTTCCGTGTTGAAGCTTGTAATACTGCAACACCAAATAAATAATTTCAAACAACAAAATTATTAATTAAAAGGAAAGTTTTAAATGTAAAATTTCTAGGTTCACTGTTGGACGTTGTTGCCATTTGGCAAAATTTCATAAAGCACCCTTAAAAAAAAAAATCAACTTTTTAAAAAAAATTTTTTTATTTATTTATTTTTTACAGCTCTTGAAGTTAAGCCGTTTTAAGAAAAGGAAAAACAGTCAAATATTTTTTAAATAGATTTATCATAATGCATGCGGTAGAGGGTTGAATGTCACTTTAAGCTACATACTAGTGTCTTGAAAAATATCTAGTCAAATTTTAAATCAGTTATTAGAAATTATTAAAAATTAAGTTATTAAAAACTATTATGTTGATAAATGTGCTGAAATCTTTCTGTTAAACAGAAATTGGGCAAACAATATACAGGGGGCTAACAAATCAGGAGGGCTAATAATTCTCACTTTAACTGTATGTCAACATGAAATCAATATGGACTCAATAATTGTTTTTTGTGGTTCCCTTCTGTTGGGGTGCCTGGCACAATAATCTGCTACCTAAAGGGTTGAGCTGGACTCTCTAGACCAGAGGTCACCAAACTTGTTCCTAAAGGGCCGGTGTCCTGCAGATTTTAGCTCCAGCCGTAATCAAACACACCTGAACAAGGTAATCAAGGTGTTACTAGGTATACTTCAAACACCCAGGCAGGTGTGTTAAAGCAAGTTGAAGCTAAACCCTGCAGGGACACCAGCACTCCAGGGCCGAGATTGATGACCCCTGCTCTAGACGTTGATTTGTCACCAGGCAAATAGAATACATTGTAAAGATGTGATGCAGTGACACTTCTTGTGGAGAAGGCTGTTTGACGGATGTTTATGAAACTATTCTTCTCTTTCAGTCACCATGTTTGTATTCATGGCACTGGCACTGTCACCTCACAGCAAGAAGAATGCTGGTTCGAGTCCCGGCTGTGCCAGTTGGCATGTTCTCCCTGGGCACTCCGGTTTCCTCCCACAGTCCAAAGACATGCAGTATAAGTGAATTGAATAAACCAAATTGGCACAGTGTATGAGTGTTTTAGTACTAGGTGTTCACCACATAGCCGTATGCTGGTATAGTCTCCCTAATAATCAAGGAATAGGCTGAGCAAACGAATTTGGTGAAGCTCTCGAGACCTACCTGAGCTCAGACTCCTCTCTCTCCCAATGAAATAGAAGAGAGCCCCGGGCTCGCAGATCTTCTGAGCTCAGGGCTCTCTCCCGGGACAGCATGCTAGACACGATTTATTATCAGTCTTCAGCTAAAGCCCGGTTTACACTTGTGCGTCAAGTGATCGGCGTGACTCACAGTGCCTGCATTGAGCGTAGCGTAGCGCTGTTTCTGTTCTGCAATAACACTTCCGAAACGCTAGTTGGCAGTGAGGTGTTAATGTTCCTCAGTGTCGAGTTTCTTCACTGGTGTTTTGTTTTTTGAGAACTCTTCCTTAATATACAAGTGGCTCGCACATTTTGAGGCAGGAACCGGCGGACGTGCAAAAACTTTAACCATGAGGTAAACACAAAACAAAACTTTCCATGCGGAGCTCCTTCACGGGACTCCACACTTGTGAACAATCGCTCCATCGGGCTCGCGCAGCTATCGGTCCCGCCCAGACTTGTCAGCCATACCAAGCTGACCAATCACAGAGCTTGCGCTACACATCATTACTACGTGTAGTTAAATTTTTTGAGAGGTGCACGTCAGCCACGGCGTAGAGCTATGCGTCAACGCAGAGGCTGCGCTGTAGCATACACGTGCGCTTTAACTACACTAAAAGCCAGAGCTACTCTCTGGAAAATGTAGAATAGCTAAAAGCTACATGGCAAAAGTAGCTTAGTTACATCAAAAACAAAAAGTCCAGTAAACCAGGTGTTACACATTTAAAATACTATAGTAATTTATAGTAAATGGAAAATATTTAGAAATGAGCATTATATTGTGTATCTATTTACAACTCTTCATTAATGAATTACACTACATAATGTAGTATCATTAGTAACTATCATGAACTAATAGTCATTACCAGGTCTAGTTATTACCAGTTTACCAGTACATATTATACTATATTATAAACTATATAATATATGTAGTGCCATGACTTTTATTTATATATATATATATATATATATATATATATATATATATATATATATATATATATATATATATATATATATATATATATATATATATTAGTACTTAACTATTCTGTAGTTTAAAAACATTAGTTAGTATAAATGACTGAAGTATTTTTTTGAGCACAATATCAGAATTAAAGTTATTGCATCTTAACATGTACTTCTCGAGGTATGGTCTCGAGGAATCCTGCTTCCGAAATAACTCTTCTCCCTCAGTCATCTTTCTATCAAGTGTCTCGCGTTCACCTAATTGATTGGCGACATCACCGACCAGAGCGAGAGGTGGCAGTAACGCACCAAAAAGTTTGTTGTAAAATAGGAAAAAAAAAGAAATCGTCGTTCTCTCCATCATATGCATTTAAATGTCTGTTCCATCAGTATTGATCCGCGATTAGTAAATGTAGCTTGTGTAGATGCTACTGCGATGCTTGACTGAAAAAAGAAATAGCTTTGCTACTGCTATGCTACTGAGAATTGTAGATGAGCTAGTAGCGTCACTAATTGTTGTGGTGCTGGTGCCCAACACTGGTATTTTCAATGAAGTTTCTGACCTAGCCTGCTGCTTCAGACAGTGCTTGTTTACACAGCGTTTCATCACGTTTTTCTATTTAACTGTTGTAATTGCGTTACAGCATCAATGCTGTAAAAGGAACCTTATGAAATTAAAAATAGCCACACAAACCTTTTACCGGAAGTTTATCATTGGCTGAAAACACTAGCTGTGCATATACTTCATTCCAATTTAATATTATTTAAGTTTGCCTAAATTGTTTCTTAAATATTTCTCTTGATTAAGGGCGTACTCGCTCTATGTACAGTTGCCTTGAACCAGGCCAAAGCACGCTTGCCCCCCTTTTCCGTCTACCCCGACGGCCCCCACTTACATTACATTCAGGCCTGGACACACTTACGTCATCGATGATGCACTGTTCAGTGGGCGCTCTCGTTCAGCACAGTGGAGATTTCTTTAGTTATGTCGTTTTAGTCGTTTGATATGCAGTGACACGCAGGCCAATATTTTGCCGAACAGATCAGCAACTTTTGACCTCGTGTTGCAGGAAATTAGGAGGTTTGCTGAAGGTGCGGCAGTCGTGCAGTGAAGAGTTTGTGTCTTTAATAATCTACGATAGTTTGCATTCATTGAACCGTAAGAATTATTAATAAATTATTAATAAAAGTCACGTTTCGCTTTCAGTTTCAGGCTCAGGCGTGTTTTGTACTTGTACGCAAGCGTACCACGCTCTGGCACACCTCTTCCAACCGGGGCAGGGCTGGCCGAATGAACCGTGCCTGAGCCCGATTCAGAGCACTCGCACTTCTCAAACGATCCGGTAAACTGGCCTGGTCACGGTTCGAATAGCATCGTGTGAGCACGCCCTAAATTGATTTCATGTTGACTTGACGTCAAGTTTCTGTCAATTACATGAAACATACAATACTCACACCTACTGTCTCAATTATGTTTTGTTTTGTTTGCAGAGGAAAGAGCGCAGAGACCAAGGCTACAGCTGAAGCCACGTACAGTGGCAGGTCCCCTTAACCAAGTGGCCAACCCCAACTCGGCCATCTTTGGGGGTGCCAAACCCAGGGAGGAGGTAATTACCAAAGACAAACACTAAGAGAGACTGAAGCCTCCCTCGGCGCTCCAAAAGGAAGGAAGAATGGGAGGGAGGGAGAGAGGAAGAAGAGGAGGGGTAAATGGGGGAGGGAAGGGCGAGGTACAGGGACAACAAACGACGACAACAAAGCGTATCATGCCAATGGGAATGCGATAAGACCTCTGTCATCATGCCTACCTATTAGAGATGAACCGAGTCCATCCTTCTGAATTCAGATCGCGTGACTATATATTTATTCAACGGAGAACAAACAAAACAAATCTAAAGACCACGCCCACATTGACCGATCGTCATGACACCTGCGCACACCAACGAGCAGCTCGTGAATGCATGGCAAAACTGTTTAACAATGGTTTTATGTCCACCTTTGCTTCCCTGTAATTAGTGCCTGCTCTGTACTGTAGTTTTCAGTGGGGGAACGTTCTTTCACGTCCTCGGTGAGATTCAAGCGTTTCTTTTGTTTTGATTGTTTTTGAGCTGCTCCGTTAAATGGAATGGAAAGTGATTTTTAAATGTTTTTCTTTGGCTTGTTTAATCGACGTAGACTAAAGAGTCGAGCCTTTTCATTGTGCGAAAAAATAACACCGATTCGATTTGTGTGCTTTGTATTGCAGGGCAGCTAGTTAACATTTCAATGGTCGGCATTCGACTCGCGTTAGCGTTTCCGAAAAAGCAGTATTAGGTTAATCGGATAGAACTACCATTGTTTGTATTTTGTTCCTTGGATTTTTGGTGGCCTACTTTGGTGTGATTTCCAACAGCGACACGAGCCCTCACATATTTTTTTATTCTTATTCTTATTTTTTTATTTCCCCGCCAATTCGAACATTTACGCGAAACCTTCGAATGCACACTGGATTGTACTTGTGGTGCTTGTCCTCTCCCTAGTCCTTTTTGTGTCTGTAAATTGGCGCGTTAAAGCACAACCTAGTCCAGTTGTACAGTCGGTGTGTTGGGAGCCGCGCATCTTCCGATGTTACTACGTAGCTAGATCGACGCAAGTTTGACCCACCTGTTTGTGTTTAGTTGATTCTAATATTATGTGCAACTTTTCATCATCTCCGGACCCTGTGTAACCATTTTGTTCTTGTTTTATGTTTCCGTTCTCTTAAGAATTAATATCTGTGTCAGTGTGGCTGCATTATTCCGGAAGGCTATACTGGATCCTGGCTTTGATCACCATAAAATCTTTCAAAGACGTCTCCCAGCGGCACGCAGGCAGAGGCACGAGGTGCTGGTCTCCTCTCGAATCCAAACGAGCCCTCTTCCGATTGGCTTTTAAAAAAAAAAAAAGCTTGTGGAGGTGGGTCTTCTAGAACGGGGCGGGGCATAGTCTTAACTCCGCCTCTGCCTGTTTTTGCTGACTCCTCCCACACGCCTCAGAGAACCCTAACTTGGAGGACAACTCCATTTCCAGGTTGATACCATTGTGTTTAAGGACTTCAAGATCTCTTTCCCTTTCCAAAGTATCTTTGTGTTTCGAATTTGTAGACGCGTGGGCATAAAAGCCGCCGTGTCATTTTATATTTTGCTCTTTAAATTTCTTTACTGTATTTGAAAATTAAAAAAACCGACAACAACGTTGAGCTTGATTCTTAATTAAACCATTTCAAAGTGAAGAGCTTTTTATTTTATTTTTATTTTTGACTTCTTGCTTTTGTCTTTATGAAAGATTTTTCGCAGCTTGACCAAATTTGGCTCATCCAGAGCTTTCAGGAACAATGTGCCACATCTATCTCACTCATTTAGAAGAGCACCGTTGCATGCATGATAGGTTTGGTTGGTGACACATGGGTCTACAGTCTACAGCAGCATCCACCTCTTGACGCCAATGCATTTCTTTACAGGAACAGTAGAAGCTATGGTCCATAACATCATGTTTACTGCCTTTCCAAGCTTATTGAACACAAATGAACTGCTCACACATGTCCAGACACACCAGGCGCTGTAGTTTCATCTCTAGTGGATCGAGTGTAGAGCCCTCATGGGGAAATCCATGCCGCAAAACCCTTCTCTTCACGATTTACTGGATCTAAATGAGGAAGCTCATTATTTTTTGGTTTTCTTACTGTACTATAGAGGTCGGCTGTTTTTATTCATTGGTTTTTCATTTTCCTACACTGTTTACGGCAATAAATTGTATCATCTTACAGTGTTTGAAATGAATGTGTTGACATGGGATGATTTTATTCTGTGTCCTGTGATGCTATACGGTGTTTAACTCGTTTAAATGAAAGAAATGTTTCATCCAAATTCAACCTTTCGGTTGGTTTATCGCCGCAGCTTCAAGCTTTGGGGAATTGTCATTGAACTTCACCAACAAGGTAACCGAACTTATCAGTGCCACACAGCATTTTGGCTGAGTCAACAATGATCTATACACTGAAGCAAACACAGGAAGGTTTTGGAGACACGTGATGAGTGATTGTTTTGCATATGTGAAGAAGAATAAAAGATTTCAAGAGGAGAATCTGGGTTTGGGGTGTGAATGATCTAAACACAGTGACTATTTAGCGGGGGAAACAATCTTCTGATGAATTAACCCTTGTGCACGGTTCAACTGTAAAACCTAGCAGTCAACTTTATCAAAAGAAATGAGTGTAGTTACCTCAAAATTGACTAAAAATTAAATCTACTCATTTGAAGAGTTTTGAACTCACAGGGTATCCGCCGGGTCTTAAAATGTCTTAAATTTTAAAATGCACAATTTTAGTTCTTAAAAGGTCTTCAATGAAATATTGTCTTGTAGGTCTTAAATAATTTTAAACAGGTCTTAATTTTCCTTTATGTAAAGCTACCCAATTGATTAAAAACGCATCCAATCACCAACACATCTAAAAACCTTTAGCAAAACTACTCATAACTAATATTATAACTAGTTTGTTGTAAAATAATTTCGTTTTTAAAGAACTTTTTTAAATTATTTTGAAAAAAAAAGCAGTTGAGGTCAGAATTATTAGCCCCCTTTGATTTTTTATTTTTTTATTTAAAAAAAATTTTATGTTTAACAGAGCAAGGAAATTAATAATAATATTTTTTCTTCTGGAGAGAGTCTTATTTGTTTTATTTCGGCTAGAATACAACCCACTTTAAAATTTTTAAAAACCATTTTAAAGGTCAAAATTATGAGACCCTTTAAGCTATATTTCTTTCCAATAGTCTACAGAACAAAACAAAAAGTTACACAATAACTTGCCTAATTACCCCAACTTGCCTAGTTAACCTAATTAACAAGCCTTTAAATATTAGTTTAAGCTGTATAGAAGTGTCTTTAAAATATCTAGTAAAATATTTACTGTCATGATGGCAAAGATAAAATAAAAACTATTATGTTTAGAAATGTGATGTCAAAATCTCTGTTAAACAGAAATTGGGAAAAATATACCGGGGGGGCTAATAATTCTGACTTCAACAGTATGTATACAACTGAGGTCTGCTTGTTTTGACACGTTATTTAAAATATGTGGCTAAGAAAATACTACTTTATTTATTTTTTCTGGGCCATTAAAAATCTTTAGCGTCTAGCCCTTTATAAGTCTGAAATTTCATTCTTCATGGTCTTAAAAAGGTCTTAAAAAGTATTGAATTTGATTTGGTGAAACCTGCAGAAACCCTGGCATAGTATGAAATTAATGAGTTAATTACTTCATTACTTCTACTTGAGTGGAGTAAGTTCACCATACTCATATAGATTAGTTTAACTCAAATGGTTTGTAGCAATCGCTTCTCTCAAACGGTGTGAGTTGCCTTATCGGGTTTTACAGTACTGAGTTGGTTTGAGTTCTCTTCATTTATTGGGTTTTACTGTGCGCGAGTTGCTTCATTTACTCAAATGGATTAAGTTCACAGTACTCATTGTGATTAGTTTTTGAACTTAAATGGTTTATTGGAATCTGTTTGATTTACTGTTATTTTTTGGGTTTTACAGTGTACCTTTCTGTTATGCTAGGATTGAAAACATGCACTGAATTAAACGGCTGTAAAAACGCATCAGATTAATATTTTTATTCAAATTTATTTGCAATAATCTGTTAATCAACCTCAGTCCTGATTAAAACTACTAAATGTGTTTAAATAGATGTAACTCTTTAATTGTCAAATTTATAAATGGTGTCTCTGATTTGGTGAATAAAAACACACAAAATGACATTTGTAATATAAAACGTAATTGTGGACAGAATTTTTTTTATATTTTATCACAGTCTTGGACATGTGAACGATTAGTAACAACATTGCCTTTGATGCGTTGTTAGTGTTTGTACAGTGTAAGATTTTCTTTTTTTTCCCCCCTAATTTACTGTTGGGGTCTCTTTTTGCGCCACTGACTTCCATTATAACCACATTTTTTGATTGCAAAACAATGACACCATATGCATTTTTAATTGTTGGTGGCTTTCCTTTTGGGAAAAGGTCAACAAAAACAATGAAGATTTAAATCTAACATTGCATCAAAGACAATGTTGTTAGTAATCATTCATATGTCCAAGACTGTGATAAAAGCTTAAAAATCCAGTCCACAATTACTATTTATATTGAAAATACGTCATTTTGTGTGCCTTTTTTACCAAATCAGTGACCTCATTTATGAATTTGGCAATTAAAGAGGTGAAATCCTGTAGAAGGGTTGTCACGATATCATTAATTTACGTTACAGCTGAAGTATCACGATACCAAGTAGTATTGCGATATTGTAATACATAACTTAAATCTATGACAAAGAAAATTGTCAGAAGTACTATATTGTGTGTTATAATAGGCCTACTTGAATTAAATTCATAACTCTCTTATTATGGAAAAAGTATTCGTGCATCTAAAATGCATTCATTCGTTTTTATTGAGATAACTGACCAAACAAAAATACTAAAATTAAAATACAAATTATACAGAATAAAATTCTTTACAAAAAGGGCATCTTTCCAACTAAATTATGAAGTGGTCAAAAATTGTTTCAATGTTTCCTGTTGCTCTTTAGGGTTTTTCATCTATTGTTGTCTTTTTAACAGATTGTTGCAGCTGTTGTTGCTACTAAATCATGTTGACAGGAACAGAAATGAACTGGTTCAGATGTGCGATCAAACAAGAGTCAGAAAAAAACCTTAAGGTTTCCACAGACTTTTAAAATAATTTTTTAGCCATTGTGGCACAAACGTGTGAGCATTTTAGTGACTTGTGCATATATACATTCGTACCAAAGTCAAAACTGTACTAATCTAAAAAAGCAAACAAAAACAAAACTTGAAATCACAGTCCGAAAATAAGAACACAAAAATGAAAATAAATGCAATTTTATTAAATAGAAAAAATTAAGATACACATTAAAACACACAATTTACGTTAAATTGTGTAGTTTTTTATTATTATTTATTAAATACAAGAATAATAACATCACTGCATTGAAAAAAATATATAACAACAAAAAATAAGAAGCGATAACTTTTTTTTTTTTTTTTTTTTTTTTTTTAAAGCCTCAATTATTAAGAAAAAAGATTATCATAAGCTTTAGGAAATTTACCCCCGGTTTCACAAACAAAGTTTAAGGCTAGTCAAGAATTAATTGCATGTTTGAGCTGTCTCAACTCAAAATAGCAGTGAGATATGTCTTAAAATACGTCAGTGTCTTTTTTTGTCTCCAGGTGCACACCAGCAATATATTTTTCTAAAGCCATTTTTATAAATGTGGCTTAAATAGCCTAATTTAACTAAGCCTTAGTCCTGGCCTAATCTAAGCCCTGTTTGTGAATCTGGGCCTTACTATTCTTATTATTATTAATAAGCTTAAAAGATTCAATATTGTACGAAATTTCAACAAGGAAAGTATTAAATGCAGGTATTGTTTTTAGGAACTTATTTTTGTTTATGAATATGTACAGCGTAACAAAAAATTTACAATAAGATCGAGAGCATGATCATTACCCGAGAAATACAAAATTGTGTAGTTTTTGGTGGCGCAGAGGGTAGCGCTGTCGCCTCACAAGAATGTCACTGGTTCAAGCCTCAAGGAATTTCAGTTTGCATGTTCTCCCATGCGCTACAGGTGAGTTAAATATACTAAATTGGCCCGTATATGTGTGAATGAGAGTGTATGGGTGTTTGCCACTACTGGGTTGCAATTGGAAGGGTATCCGCTGTTTAAAACATATGCCAGACTTAGTTGGCGGACCAAGGGACTAATGAATGAAGATGAGATTAAATGTTTTTTTTCTTGTCACAGTCCGTTGTGCATTCTTTTTTCTTACAGCAGAGGTCGCTGCTTCCTATGTAAATGCTCACAGTAAAACAATCTACATTCATAAAACTAGCATCATAGAAAATCAGCACATTTTGGAAATGCACGTTTTTTTTTGCCAGTATGTATAGTTGTATAATAAGGTGATACAAGTTTATGTAAACGAATTAATGCACTTTTGTGCAATTTGAGCTGTTTAGGTTAAACCAGGTTTTCATAAAAAAGCCTGTAGAACACTTACAGCTTTTATTACAATTATGCCTATATATTTTTGGATGTATATTTGTATAATACAGATTATGTAAACGAATTAATGTATTTTTATGCAATTTAAGCTATTTTGTTTATCAGATTTTCATGAAAAAAGGCTGTGGAACATTAGAGCTTCAGCTTCCAGATTAAAATTGCATTAAAAGTTGCTGCAAGTTACTTGTCTTTTCTCGTGTTACCAAAAACAAAATTTAATTACCCTAAATATTTAATTTAAGAACTGATAGGGGATATTGATACTGATGTTTAATGTTAACATTAAAAAGTCTAAGATGAAGTAATTTATTGAAAAAAGTAGCATGAATGACTGCTGCATCATCATGGTCATGTGATATTTGTTAGGGTTCTCATCGCTTATCAGTGTGGACCAATCACAGTCGTTTGCGGTTGGCAGTAGGTAATATTTCCAGTTGTAGGTTATAAAGTCGATTGGGTGTACGTTAAGACAAAAACATATCGTCTTCCTCTTAAAGGAAGTTATGATCGATTAAGAATGTTACAATTATTATACTCATTCCATTAATGTTTTGTTTGTAATCAATAACTAATGGCTTAAAAAAACTTGTCCGACGTGCGCGTTCTCGTGATTTGAAAGCATCGACGTGCGCGCGCCTGGACTCTTAACGACTTTCTACCTCACGAAACGTCGCGTCCCCTTGTAAACTCGAAACACTGAAAGTGTGTGTGAACTGGTCCAAGTTCAACTATTAAACAGCATAATTGGACGTTTTGTTTAAAACTCGTTTCCAAATGTCCATGTTTGTTTCCCAGCAATACGGAGTTTTGAACATCTGCGGGTTTTGAGCGCCTCTCTTCTTCGTTTCATTCGAGGTAAGTTAAGTTTCGACCCAATAAAACGAGTAACGTTAGATATTAAACAACATTAGTTGTCGTTTAAGTTTTTACTTGTGCTAATATATACTTTGAATGTTTCAAGTGATTAATTGTACACTTATGCAAATTAGTTGTCGTTTTTAACTCTTGGTTTGCTCTCGTGACTTGTGAACGCAGTGTCGCATGATACCATTAAACTGAAAGGTGACATCTTGCTGCTAATATACCATTAATTTAGTTTATTATTGGAGGTTAACTGCTAATATACCATAAATTTACTTTATTATTGTAAGTTTACTGCAAATATATCATTAATTTAGTTTATTATTGTAAGGTTACTGCTAATATACCATTAATTTACTTTATTATTGTAGGTTTACTGCTAATATACTATTAATTTACTTCATTATTGTAAGTTAACTGCTAATATATTATAATTTTACTTTACTATTGTAAGTTAACTTCTAATATACTATTAATTTAGTGTATTAATGCAAGTTAGCTGCTAATATACCTTAAATTTAAATTTATTTTTGTAAGTTAACTGCTAATGTATCATAATGTTATTTTATTGTTGTATGTTTACTGCTAATAAACCATTATTTAACTTTATTATTGTAAGCTAACTGCTAATATACACCATTATATGACTTTGTTATTGTGAGTTAACTGCCAAAATACAATTTTTTACTTTTACTATTGTAAGTTAACTTCTAATATACCATTATTTTACTTTATTATTGTAAGTTGACTGCTATGTGCTATCATCACACAATAATTTTACATTATTATTGTAAGTTTAGTGCTAATATACCTTTTTTACTTTATTATTGTGAGTTTACTGCTAATATACCATTATTTTACTTTTTTAATGTATGTTAACCGCTAATATACACCATTATATTACTTTATTAATGTGATTTTACTACAAATATACCCTTATCTTACCTTTTTATTGTAAGTTAACTGCTAATATACCTTTTTTACTTTATTATTATGATATAACTGCTAATATACCATTATTTCACTTTATTATTGTAAGTTTACTGATAATATACCATTATTTTACATTATTATTTTAAGTTTATTGCTAATATACCATTAATTTACTTCATTATTGTAAGTTTACTGCTAATATACTATTATTTTACCTTAATAATATAGGTTTACTGGTCATATGCCAATATTTTACATCATTATTGTGAGTTAGCTGCTAATGTACACAATTCTATTACTTTATTATTGTGAGTTTACTGCTAGTTTACCATTATTTTACTTTATTATTGTAAGTTAACTGCTAATACACCATTATTTTACTTTACCTTTGAAAGTTAACTGCTAATTTTTTTGTTGCACGAGTTAGTCTTTGTGAACGAATCTTTTCCTGTTTTAAAGAGGAAGTTTAAGAAGAGGTACACACGGATGTTTGAGGTTGCCAAGTCATTGTGAGAGCTTTGAGTTGTGAAGTTGATTTGCAAACATGGGAAGTTATAATCAGATCCTCAATGTCGTAAAAAAGGCAAAGTGTCCCAACAAATGCTACAAACGTTCCTCACAAATGGGTTGCTGTGTTCTCTTTCTTTTTATAGATGGCAAAGGCTTGGACTTTATATCCTTGAACGTCACAGTTTACAAGACACTGAGTCACTGTCAAGGTACTGACATTGTTGTTGTTGCTTTTACTGTCTCCACGTAAGAAGTGTCATTCATGCATGCGTTTACCTAAGGAAAGTATTCTATGACAATTGTATCATAGAAGACTGAAAAATACTGAAAATAAGAGGATTTCAATTCAAATTTGACAACTTGTCATCCGTCAAATTGATAAATAAGATTTTCTTTTTAATTCAATTTAATTACAATTTAATTGCATTTATTTATTTAAAATTTTCATGTGGCTTTCCTCCAAGTGCTCTAGTTTCCCCTACAGACCAAAGACATGCACTATAGGGGAATTGGTTTAACTAAATTGGCCGTAGTGTATGTGTGTGAATGTTAGTGTGTTTGGGTGTTTCCCAGTGATAGGTTGGGACTGGAAGGGCATTCGCGTAAAACAAATGCTGTAATAGTTGGCGGTTCATTCTGCTGTGGCAACCCCTGATAAATAAGGGACTAAGCTGAAGGAAAATAAATAAATAAATGAATTATTAATTATTTTTCATGTGGGGTTCAAGATTTGAATGATATGAATGGTGGATGTTATTTCATTACTCATTGTGAATTTCTGATATGTTTTTGCACTATAAACATCCATTAATTATATATAAAAAATGTGTATATAAAATAAATAAAATAAAAATGTTGAAAAAATTTGTTGATGTGCTATTTCGTTTTCAAATTGGTCTCATAATTTGCATAGTTTTCTATGATGAAATTCTTTATCATTCATACATTCATTTTCTTTTCAGCTTAGTATCTTTATTAATCTACGGTTGCCACAGCGGAATGAACCGCCAACTTATCCAGCATATGTTTTACACAACGGATGCCCTTCCAGCTGGAACCCATTTCTGGGAAACACCCATACACTCTCATTCACACATGTACACAAACAATTTAGCTTACCCAATTCTCCTATAGCGCGCGTCTTTGGACTTGTAGGGGAAACCGGAGCACCTGGAGGAAACCCACTTGAACATGGGGAGAACATGCAAACTCCACACAGAAATGCCAACTGACCCAGCCGAGGCTTAAACCAGCGACCTTCTTGCTGTGAGGCGACCGTGCTACAAATTTTTTATCTGATTTGTATTTTTATTAGAAGATAGAATTGATTAATTTAAAATGGACAGCAAAAACCCTCCATATTTACCTGGAGGATGTACTTTTTATTGAAAATGGCCATGAAGATTTTATATGCGGTCACCGGCCACTTTATTAGGGACATCTTGCTAGTACCGGGTGTAACCTCCTCCTTTTTGCCTTCAGAACTGCCTTAATCCTTCGTAGCAAAGATTTAAAAAGGTACCAGAAATATTCCTCAGAGATTGTGATCCATTTTGACATGAAAGCATCATGCAGTTGCTGTAGATTTGTCGGCTGCACATCCATGATGCAAATCTCCACCACATCCCAAAGGTGCTCTATTGGATTGAGATCTGGTGACTGTGGAGGCCATTTGAGTAGAGTGAACTCATTGTCATGTTCAAGAAACCAGTCTGAGATGATACGTGATTTATGACATGGTGTGTCATCCTGCTGGAAGTAGCCATCAGAAGATGGGTACACTGTGATCATAAAAATGGAAATGGTCAGCAAGTAACAATACTCAGGTAGGCTGTGGCGTTGACACGATGCTCAATTAGTACTAATGGGCCCAAAGTGTGCCAAGAAAATATCCCCCACACCATTACTCCACCACCAGCCTGAATTGTTGATACAAGACAGGATGGATTCATGCTTTCATGTTGTTGATGCCAAGTTCTGACCCGACTATCGGAATGTTGCAGCAGAAATCGAGACTCATCAGAGCAGGCAACCTTTCTCCAATCTTCTATTGTCCAATTGTAGTGAGCCTGTGTGAATTGTAGCCTCAGTTTCCTGTTCTTAGCTGACAGGAGTGGCACCCGTTGTGGTCTTCTGCTGCTGTAGCCCATTCGTCTCAAGGTTCAACGTGTTGTGTGTTCAGAGATGCTCTTCTGCAGACCTCGGTTGTAACGAGTAGTTATTTGAGTTACTGTTGCCTTTCTATCAGCTCCAACCAGTCTGGTCATTCTAGTCCAGACCTCTAGTTAATATTTTCCACATCTCCCTTCTCGTTCAGTCAAAGCCCAAAATACTGCCAAACTGCAGAGGTTGTGTTCTTTTCGAGACCAGGTCACTTAGTGCGAGACTCGCCATCTTACCTAACCTCTCTCTCTCTCCTCCACACTGTCCCGTGATGACAATCACGCATACGCATATTTAGGCATTAAATGAATAATATTGAATACTTGTCTCCTATTTAGGTTCATTGTTTTCTATGACAGTATAACGGTATTGAAACTGACACCGCTGCTATTTCAGGCATACCAGATTACTGTATTACCGCCCAAGCCTAACTGGTGGCGATGTTCGGTACTGCGGCCAAACAAAATCTTACTGAAAGCTTTAAATTTGAAGTGTAATTTGATCAAATATTTAGCTTATATTTTCTGTCAACGTTGGACTAAAATAGGTTTTGTAAAATACATATTGTATATAAGATTTTCAAATAAACATTGTTTTATTATAATTTTTACAAACTTAAAGGCAAATAAATTTGTTTTATTTACCGTTTTTAGCTACAATCTGACAAGTGTCTTCATTAAAGTCAGAATAAGCTTAAACCTATTCAAGTGTTGAGGATTGGGGTTGAATTGAAGTTGAATTTTCGTGTCTATGTTCAAAAAGTGCGGGTGAAAGTTCTGGGCTTAAATGGTGTAGCAGTCAAAACCTAATGGGTCATTTATAATCGTCACTCTGCTCTTAACCGTATGACCTGTCAGCAGTAACTCCAGGCATCACATGTGTCCTCCTGCTGTCTCAGTGTGTGTAGCCACAGTGCTGCTATTGTTGGTGTGTTTCTAGGGAGCGTCCGGGTGTAGACACCACGGCAGGCCGGGGAAAAGGGGGCTGTGGATTTTATGACAGCCCAGCACTAACAATGTCCAGTCAGCTGGTCAGTTGGTGAAGGCTGTGAGAGCATTTGTTGTTTTGAACTTTGCACATGCTGCCATGTTTGCTGACTCCAGGTAATGGCAATTGTTTGTTTGGTTATGGGGATTGTTTTCCAATTTTGCAAAGTGAATGCAAGTTACGGGTTCCTCTTTAGATATGAAAGACATCCATATCATTTCTAGACACACATATGTGTATGTTTTGGAACTTTGTAATGCATGTGTAGATATAGTTGTGTTGTTGTTGTGGCCAATGGCAGATGTCAGAAAATGTGTGGAATGTAGTATATTAGGGTTGAGTTTACAGTATTGATTAACAATCTTTTTAATCTGATGAACTGTTATACGATCACGTTTCTAAGAATTTCGAGTTATGACAGACCCCTAGTTTTACATGTTTTTTTTTTTTTTTTTTGTGATTTAAAAATGATTTTGTGTTGGTAATTATCCGAAATTTGCATAAAATCTTGGGATTAAAAATATGTAAATTTAAAAATTAAAAGTTTCAAATATATATGATATATTATTTACCATATTAGGTAACCTACCATGTTGGATGTGGAATCTTCATGACACAAATCCTAAAAATAAAGCTTCTTTATTTTGGTCTTAGACAAGATCTAAAACGGTAGGTTAGATTAAGCTGAATTAAGGTTGTACAACTATTTTTACCCATGATCTTAGTTTCTCTTTCTCAAATTTCACTCCCCGGAGCATCTGACATTATTTACCTCTCTCAGGACATGCTTTATGGCTTCCCCTACCGTAATACACCTAAAACACGGATTGCTGTTAAACTCGTCAATGGCAGGAAAGTGTTTTCTCTCGTCAACGGCAGGGAAAGTGTTACGCAAAATTATTTATCGATTTGGTGCCGATCATAATACCAGCCATACATGTAAAGCACAAATAATTTCCTTCAATTCGGTCATGTCCAGCAGCCGTTATCCTTGAGTCAATCTCCATGTTAGCTACGTAAAAAAATCGCATACTTATGCACTATTCTACGCCATTTTGTAGTATAAATAGTGTAAGTAGTGCGTTAACACTGAAAACTCTAAAAATAATAAGTACACTTTAATTACCCGGATGATGCACCGCAGTTTTGCTCGCGTAGCGGAAGGGGCGGAGCTATCGGGCGCACATGTTGGATAACTTTATTTATTTTGGATGGTGAAAGCAAAATTCTCCCATGAAAGTGATTATAGCGCCTCCCGATGGTGAATGCGGTTATACTCATGGCAGGTATCATTTGATAGTTTGGTCATATTTCACTGATTTAGCAACCGTCAAAGTCATCAGGGAAACGGTTTGAATTTCTGCTTAGTAAAAAAACAGTATGCCATTTGGGACAACACTACACTATAATGTTGAGTGTGTAAGTGCATAAGTACATAGTGTATGAGTGCATAGTGTATAGTGTGCCATTTGAGACGCAGCGATAGCCTGTTCCACTTCTTCATTTGTTAGATGTTTGCTCTCACTTTTATAGTCTGAAGCAGTTTGCACCACAGGATGTCTAATCGCGTCTTTGCATTGACTTCACATGTAAATCACTCCCGCTTGACGTCTCATCTGCGTCTGCTTACTGCATAGATGTATGTAACGTCTCTAACTCACGTAAAACAATTAATTTTATACTGAAATAAATAGAATATGGTTATATGGTATTAGATTATTTACATTTTTGCGATTATTTTGCGTTTAGGAATTTTGCAGGACCGCAAAAAAACTTATTGGTTTGTTTTATAATTGTATTAATTTTAGACATTTAGGCTAATTAATTTACCTAAAAACCAAAATAGAAATGTTTAGGAATTAAAAGTCAAGTTTAATAATCAGTTAATTATATTTCTTTAATAAGAGACAGTTTAATAAAACAAACAAAAAAACACAAAGTTTAGTTGCACTTTTGACCCGGTAATGAACTTTTTTTGTTTTGTTTCTTTTTCTTTTTTGTTTTGCTTTGACCCTGGGTAAACACACATTTCATGACAGTGATGTGAAAGTGATGCTAG